GGTCCAGTCTTGTTTAAGTCGTAGAGGTATACACATTTTTGCATTCATATCATGCGTTGAAAGACGAAGTATCGTTTATCTGATTGTGCCTTTAACATTCTCCCCTGGACCAAAGATGGAACCACGTACAATCGAAGACTTTTCAGCGAGGGCTTTTCTCCGAGGACGCAATTTGTCTTTGTGCACGTGGTTTCTGTGTGGTTCTGTCCTCAGTCAGAACCAGAACACTGTGTTTCCTTTTGTGCTTTGGACAACGTCGCATAGACTAAACACAATGACATGTAGGTTCGCGGACGATTTTCAAACGAAGGCCTGCCTCCGAGGACAACAGTTCATCTTTTGCAGTTTCTGTGCGATTCTGTCCCGGTCTAAACGCACAATTGATAGAAGGAAGCGCGTCGTTATACAGCCCGACCCTTGCATGGCAGTGGACTTCCCCGATCTCAGACAATGACTCGCCGACAGCCAGACCAAAATGTACGTCGACGCCATGCCAAACTAGAGGTCTCCATCGGGACAGATGATGAGTTTCCGTTGGAGAAATTATCCACTACTCACATTACATCCTAAATCAGCAATCTTAGCTCCCTGGACGCGGCATTTACAATTCAGAGTGAAACTAAAGATCTTATTTATTTTTGGACTCGCTTAAAGACATCTTTTTTTGTGCAATTTGATATTTTTTACTGAAAACATTGCAACTCAAGTTTGGTAAAAGCATGAGAGTAATTTTAACGCGCACCAGAGATCAGAAGGTTAATTTGTATACACGCTACAAGGCATTCACAAGATGAATACAAACTATTGGTTAAATACATAGTAACGCAATCACTTTAAAAATGTGCACGAATTGCCTCTAGAGAAAAACGTAAACTCATTCAAAAATAAGTTATATTCAAAACATGGTGTATGGATTTCAATATCGAAAAGTGTTTCTGTGCTTCAGCGAAGAAGCCGTCCGAAATTGAAAAAAATGCCTTGTTTTAGAACGAAGTGCCAAGAAAAAGGCTTAATAATTTCAAAAACGAAGAAGTTAGTGTCAACTATAAAAACTGACACCAGGTCATAAATTGATCAGCTGGTAAAGTTCAGAGGAATATGAAAGATGCAGGTGGGCCTCTACTGAATGGTGGATCTACAGAACATGGGGGCTCGGTATCAGCGTCCATAGTAAATGTCCGGAGGGCAATGCCCTTTGTCGACAAGGTCATCATAGCCGAAGGAGCATGCACGCAATGCTTCAAAATGACCGCCCTTAATTAATTTCAAATTAATTAAGAAGCTTTTAAATGGTGCCCCCAGCTGGTGCCTCTCACGCGGGGTCGTAGCACTGCACGTGTCGGCAAGCTGACGGGCAAAGCAAGCGCTCCTTCTCGCTACCAAGTGCCAAAGAAATGGCGGTTAATTTACCCTGAGACTCCAAAGAATAATAAATCTATAATTTCGCACCTTCTTTCAAGGCCCTCCCCCCGATTGACCAGTGGCTAAATGCTGACCTTAGATTCACCGCAATTGCAATTCGATTATGAAATGATTTTGTTCGCGAAGAATTATCTAATATGCAAATGCAGCGGTGGGGCAAATACAATTTTGTCAACGGCAGTGCTGACGTGGCCGTTATGCGCCCACGATGTAAACAGCGTTTTGTGGTCGGTCGGAACAATCAATTATCTTGGAATTGACTTTGTTAATTCACAAAAAGAAGATGTCGCAATGGCTCAAGCACTGAGCAGACGAAATGGAAGGGAGAGGGGCATGCAAAAGGGATTGGAAGGTAAGGGGGGGAGGTGGGAGAAGAGGTCAAAGGGGACCACAGAAGCTGGAGAGGCATCGAAGTTCATCGCCAACTCCCTTTTTTTTTTAATATTGTCCACACACAATGTACTGATTGTACCCAGGCCTGTCATTGTAATATCATACTTGGTGGAGTTCCTCCACCTGCCTCTTCAAGACTCTCGAGAATTTCCCTCCAACTTGTCTCTCTAATAAGTGACCGTCAAGCAACGACATCGAGTGCTCGCTAACTCAATTAAGAAACGTCCGATCCCCTGTGTTCCGTTTGATCGCGCGGCAGTCGGCTTTGTTCTGGTCTTTTAGAGATGAAAATTGCCTCTGTCTTGTCATGTGACGATGAATCTTCCTCGCTTGCTCCTTCACGTTTATAATGAATTTCAGAATGCTCGGCGGTGCCACATTGGCGAAGTAAGTCAACTTTCCTGGGAGATTACAAAGGCACATTCACCACACCCTCACTTCGACAGAACCCTTTCATACTTGAACGTAATGACCTGAACAGTCATACAATAGAATCCATAAATGTCAAATTTCACAGTGATTGAGATCTGAACAAGAAAGGATCCCGACTTCATCAGATTTAAACATAATTGACAATGTTAAATCTTCGGAAAGAAAGTCAAGGTTGTATAATTGTGGCAGAATCTCTTTCAAACACAAAAGAACCTGTGAATTGGATCCAGCGATCGAATGAGACACAGGAAACTTTTATAGACATAATCAAAAGAAGTAAAAAGACAACGTAGTTGAAAAGGGGGAAAAACGCAAAAGATGGCTTATTATGACAGCTGTCCTTACACAATTGGGGCCGTCGACGAGCGGAAATAAGCGGGTCGAGAGAAGATATAACGGGATTCACAGCCCAGAATACATCGCCGACATACTGGGGAATTAAAAAGACTAGAGCTCCTTCATAAAAGATACTGTGTGATATCATCGGAACATTTTGCCGTGGGGAGAAAACGGGAAAGCGAAGTGATTATACAGTTGGGTGTGAATTACAAGTAAGACAATTAAGCGTCTGCGTGTAGCGGACGGCCCACGGCGGTTGATAATGTTCCACCTCAGCCACATCGGAAATAATTCGAGGTGACCAGGGAGTAGCTGGTAAAAATGATTAAGTTGGACTGTGGCGAAGATTAGGCTGATCACTGCTAGTGATAACCATTTAGAGAAGTCCAGATATAATGTCTAAATTGAAATAAGCAGTTCGTCACGAATCCACACTTCACTTTTTAAGAGATATATCAGCAGAGAAATCCAACTCAAATTACAGTGCCTTAAACTAAAACACCTGACAGTCACCCTCAATAAAAGGGGGCAAAGGGACTTGCCCCATGAACACAGCCAACCATTGAAGAACTTGAGCGTTAATAACAGAACATGTCCTCAAGTTTCATACCAACAAATATCACTCACAGCCTCAGTGAGACTTACACTAGATGAGTTGTCAAAATTATTGATCACTATTTTTAAGCGAGCAGCGCACACGAGACTGGGGAATTAAGCTATGATTCATTCGATTCCAACCGCGACTCTTCGTCACACGACTCTTGTCCCCCCTGCCAACCCTGGTCGAGAATCTCTGCCATCGTCCCAATAATGTCGTCTCACTACAAGTCGAGGTTTTTCTAGTCTCGATCAGCTGTCCTTCGGGCGTTGTAACATCACTCACTTGATGCATTATACACCAACCTCCTCGATAATTTCCACACCGTTAATGCATGCTCACGCATGTCTGGCTGATGTTTGCGAGATCGGGGCCATTCCGCGCTGACGTAGTTCTCTGAGAGCGGGGCCTGTACTGTCCCCCCCCAACTTTCCAGCCGACCCTCCGGGTATACCTAGCGGGACTAGGCCTTCAAACACGATAAATACACAACATAGTGACTAACAAACGCGTAGTTTTTACCTTACACATCTAATATTATACCTCATCTTTGAATCTTTCTCAACTGGATCTCACACAAGAAATGTTCAACCCTTTTATCTGTATTCAGCTTTCCTGTCGCCTCGCTCTGGCAGAAAAAAACGCACCCCCAGTGGCTCTTGCTCAATTTAAAAATAACAGAAGTAAAATTTAAGGGCAATTTAGCTGCGTCATCGATTTGTCAAACCGAGTCCGTAGAATCACTTAATAGCCTTCCATTTTCCGAATTCGACATGCACAAACTGGATTTTCTTTTCAATAGGTAAAAAACTTTACAAAACAGCCATTGCCGAGTTCCTAGGCCATTGTCGAGTTCCTATAAATAAACTTTTTTTGTTGTTATACAACTTTTCAACTACAATCACACGATAACATCACATACGATGGACCATTTCAGGGCTAACATTCCCGAGAGCGATCTAATTAAATTGCATCTTCCTCGTCAGACTAACATTTTTTCCAAGGCTGCGCACAATAGTAATAATGAAACTAAACAATACTATACAATGATGTAGATATCATGGGTCTTGACTTCATTTCAATGGTCATGCAGTGAAATGAATAAGGATATGCTCCACAACCGTGACTCATATTTATATTGCTGCAGATGGAAGAAAATTATGTCGAACGACAACGGTTCGCTTCATGATGAGATACCGATTCAATTTCCTTTGGAAATAGACTCGAAATTGGACTTGAAGTAGGCACGCGAGCTCGCCTGTTTCAAACAGTTTGACGGCTGTTATCGAATAAGATTTAACATCTCCGGGTGAAGTCGACAATATAGTCGACAAAACGACAACAGATTGCCTATATATTAGGCTTTCTCCTCAGCCATGCCCTTTGATAGAAGATTCCCGAACTTTTTCTCATCCTGGTGAATGTATTTGATGTATCCTCCAAGTTCCATAACTCAAAAAGAACGTATACATTTACTTTCATATCGCGCCCAAGAATGTCGGAACAAACGACAGTTGGCAAAAGTTTATTGCGTGAAAAGCGCAAACAAGAATTGGTATGCGACTTGGACTACTGTGTTACGCACGCGTGCTTAACCGCAAGTCACGTCGAAGTAATTCTGGGAAAGAATGCCTTTGATCCGCCGCTTTCTTGGGCTTGAACAAAGTCCACAGGTATGGTGGACATTCCGGAGGTATTTCAAAGAAACAAAGTTTGACACATTGTCTCAATTCCTAACATTTTTGCATTGAACCAGTGGCGTTCGGACACTGCATTCTTTTCAACTGTTTCAGAGAGATGAAGTGAAAAATGTTACCTTTTCGGCTGGCAGCTCAGCTCTGGGGAAGGGAGTGGTCGTTATTATAGCTTCTCTGCCGTTTTGGTGTGGTGCTAGCTCTCCAAGGACGAGTCCCTTTGTAACTTGTCCAAACGCAGTGCCCGGGAATTTGAAATAAAATATCAAGTCCTCGGTGTCTAGGCCGTGAAAGAACAACGCCGACCGTGCTCAGGTTGGAGTAGGAAGTGGGAATGACGAGGAAGGGGTGGCTGGTAGTGGACTTACAGGGCGTAAACTGTAGTTGGGTATAGGGCTGACGACGCTGCCGAGTCCCGGAGTGTTCTCTTGACGAACTCCCAAAATGACTTGTGCACCAAGCTAGGCCATGGGCGTATCAGCAGCGCACGCATGGGTGACCGTTCACACTGGATCGGTGACCGGTAGTGAATTGGTTGCGATACGCACTGCTTGCCTCGAACAGCGAGTTGCGTGTTCTCCAGCCTCGCACACACTCACTAAAAAAACCTACATACCAATCGCTATGGGGGAATGCGCTTCGTCCATGTACGGGGGCTCCGTCACTGCCACTGTCAATCGATGGGACATGATGTAATTGTTCACGCTATCTACCACGGACTGCAGGCTGATCACGCTATCATCCGTGAACCACAAGGTGGTTTCCGAACCACGATTGTGACTCGATACAAGGACATTTTGGGCTTGACAGGCAATTTTGGGATTTTTCTAAATTCAAGTTTCAAATTACAGAATTCATTTTTTAAAATTTGTATGTAACATGCATATCGTTATTACTCAAAGTTTAAATGTACCTATATTTTACCGAAGTTCCAACCTTGTTCACAACAGAGGGTTCCGAGAACTGATGAAGTCAGTGTAAGAAATGGCTGGAATGTTTACTTAAAACATTCGGAGGCCAATTCAGCATTTATACAACTTCAGTTTGAAAGCTTCATTAAGAATCTTACCACGTGATCAGTTTAGTAAGACCAGTTTTTCAGTCTTTTACAAAACAGTGGAGCTATGCGCTGGTTCCCGTCTTTCCATTGGCACGTGTGGAGGGAACCTATCTCAGCCACAAATCTATAGAGTTCGTGGAGTGCATGCAGCGGTAATAATAGGAAACATATACACAGACATTACACTTCTATCAATTGCCTTTCCGTAGTGTCTGTCCCTGGAGATCGCTGCGCTAGTTACCGTACAAAATGGCGGTTAATATTAATCTGAATATCAGCTACAGGCAAGTTCGGGCGCGAACTATAGTTGCTTTTCAAGTTACTTTTCAACAATGCGCATGGGCAATCCTGTTACACTCGAACGACCCTAGTCAGTCAATTTTTTTTTTAATCTCTTTCACTCACATTTCACTGTTGGCTGCGATTCTTGCAGCGTACATGGTCTTTGAAATCCCATACAGTTATTTCATGTGATAAATAAAACCGGCCATTGATAACCAGCGGTGCGACCCGACAACCCAAAGGCAAAGCCACTGTTCTTCGCCGCGTTCAAAGTCGGTGTGAACCTAGGAAGTTCAGTTCCGACCAAAGGAGTCTCTGTTGCTAAAGAAAATTGCGCCCTCTCTTGGCCCAGCTCGAGGCTCATTGGGGAGTGGGAGGGAGGCTTCAACACAGGGTTGACGTCATGCCTCTGATTGCGATATTTTGTCAGAAGGTCTCGTCTTGGGTTCGCCGAAAGTTTAACTCCCGATTTCCCCTGACAATTTTAGGGAGTTGAAAAAAATGACGATCTAATAATTACGCAATTAAGGGCATTTATAGCAAATACCAAATACCAAATTCACTGGAAATTTAAAATTATGAAATACAAAAATTGGGAAAATTGCAACAAATTTCAAAAGTTAAATATGCAATTTATGTACAATCACGCCCACTTTAAAAGTATGAACGACACTCCCTTGATCAGTGGTAAGCATTACGTTATGGGTTCCTTGTCGCGTCACTTTCCACAAAGATATCCCTGCAGGGTAACGGCTGGATTTTCAGGAGGGGGGAGGCATTTAACATTTCATTTAATTAACCGAAGTGTACATGTATGTCATGACTGACACAGCGTCACTCAAATCGAAACTGAAACAGCCGTCGGGGGTTGGTCAATTCAGGAGTGTTGAGGTAGGCGCAGGAAGAATGATGCGTTCTCATATTACAATTAACGCAGGGGATTGAGAGTCGATCGGGAGTACTCTTCACAGAGAGAGAGTGAACACAGATTGTTTCTTCTCTAGATTTTTTCCCCTTTTTATTATGAGGTGCCTGTACCAGTAGTTACTCCTGGAGATACCGTTATTTAGGAGCCTTGACGAGGCTTTAAAATGGGCACTGACCGCTGATTAGCACGCCGTGTCTCGTTACTCATGTTGCCTCGTGGCCTCGTTTACCAGTCGCCTCAATTATTTTCCCAACCAACTGGTCGACTGGAACGGCACACGAAAAATACGAGGTTGGTTAATTTGTGACAGTCTTGCGCAAACAAAATCGTCACTCCTACTTGGCGGTACGATTCGATTTTCATTAATCAGACTCAGAAGGTCATCTACTGAGAAAGGTGTATTTTGAGCCGCCCAACTTTGGTTAAAATTCAGCACTTTTTTTAAAAGGACCTTCTGTGTGAGACCGACCATACAGGGGCAGCGACCGAGCTGCGGCCCACGGTCGCTCGTCCGCGTTTCCGGCCTTATATCCGTCAGCAATCAAACGCACGACTGAATTTTAAGAGGAAAACATCGGCTCCAAGTAGCCTACAGAAGCTTTGCGTGTATGGTAGCCATGTTAAAGGGCAGTTTTTTTTTGCTCCACAGGGGAACCTCATTGTGCACAATCTATGGAACTGGCCTGCAAGATGGCAGCCGTGCAGACCCTCCATTGGATCCGCGCCGCCTGACCGTCACTAACAGGTCAAATTTCACCTTCGTGATCATGTTGTTCTTCGGATCCGATGAGCGATTTTCCCAACCGAATCGCATACAGCGTATTATTCCTACATTAGCGTCGGGCGTGGCGCATGAACAGCAAACGAAATGGTGAAAATTAAGATCGGTGTTTGTACGACTCGAAGCCGACTGGGAAATGACTGTTTATTTACGCGTGTGCATTCTTCTGGCATACGCTGTAAGAAATTGGCAACGTTTCAACAACCGAACGTTGAGGTGTTATTTGACAAGGGTGTTGGTTTATGCCAAAATGTATCCAAGCGTTAAGATGCAAGTGACATTTATTTGGAGTGTGTTGTTGCTCAGCGGTATATACAAACCAAAACATCCATTTTTTCACACTAATTGATTGTAGTTTGTTCAGGGACCGTGGAATGATTATGTGGTTCTAGACGAAAGGTCACGTGCCGTGGGAGTAATTTCGCGCGCTTTGTGAAGAATTGTGATTATGTTCCGAATCGCGTCGTGTATCTGACAACGCCTTCGCGATTGGTTACCGCATGGGTATGCAATAGTAGGCGAGGTCTGGAGCCACGCATCACTGTACCTCATTACCGTGACTACAAAGTCACGTTGCCACGTCAACGATGGAAATCAATTCTATTTCAACGACTCCTTGCGAAATTTTCTGTGATTGACCCACATCTCCCACGTCGTCTTGACGCTAAAAATAACGTAAACAGGCCAAATTGATGCGCGCGCGAGAAGCTCCATTCTTGTTGTTGGCTCCGTCGCCATGGTGAAATGACAAAAAACACATTTGCCATTTCGCAAACAAAGAAAACGTCTGTCGCATTAATCAAGACGGAAGCTGGGGGCGCATTAAATGCCGTTTACCGCGCTTACTAATTGACCCTACAGTAATGACGTCTAGTTCTGAACGCAACAAACGGCACGTGAGAACGGATTCAATTATGCTGTGGCGTCGAACGCAAAGCTTCGCGCTCTGGTAAACATTTTCTCCTTTGACCTTTGGTAAACCTTTCGTCCAAACGGTCGAGGAAGAAAAAAGAAATCACCTAAAATCGCGAATGGGCTAAACACATGGCTCAGCCGCAACCACATCAATAATTTACTGGTTGGCTTCTTGCCCGGTTCAATATATCACATATATTTAATGATAACTTAATAACAGTTCTCGTGCGCGCGCGGCGTTTTGCAAGAGACCGACGAGAGTGCTTAAGAAAAACCCCAGCGTGCCTCGCGGCAACGGGGAGGTTACTGCCGCTCACATGGAATAATACAATGATCCGCTTGGCTGTGTTCCGTCACCGAAACCTCCGCCATCGTGTTTGCCCGAGTCTCATCAGTCATTTCAGGTTATTTTTCTCGTATTTTCACAGATATTTATCATCAAAACTGCTGCCCCTCAGCTCTTTCCAGAGCAGAAAAAAATTCTCAATGTTCCATGATAAGGGCAGCACTGGCATGATTTTCTTTTGTAATCAAGTGAAAGTTGACGACAAAAATTAAGTTTTCTGACTCGGGCAGATGCTGAAAAAAAGAAACCGCGGAAGAATATGAAACCCTTTACCTTGGCAACTGACTGACTCAATGTTGAATCTGCCCGTGACGCAAAGCCTTCCCATAAACAGAGCAATCGACAAAAATCAGTATCCCCCAAAAGGGAAATAATTTTATTGTCAATTTTTCTTTTACTCAATTCTGAATGTTCAATGTGGGACGACTGACGAACGATCAATGGCGCGTTTTGGTTATTCAGCCCCTCCCATTCGGCCAAATCAACCGGGCTTGATTAGTCGGAGCCACGGACGAATTTTCTTCATGCACGGTGAAAGAAAATGAAAAGAAAGCAAGTAAAAAAAAAAGCAATTAAAGCTCTGTTCGGCAATTTTTGGACCAGGACTTTTTCTTGTTTTCTTTTTCCCGGGTAGTCGTTATACCAGCGACACGGTCGTGTTGCTCATAAACCCCAGACCACAAGACATCAATCCGAATGTCTCGGCCGTGCCCTCGGATCAAATCAAGACGGAATGTGGGTCGCGATTGCCAGGCTGATAACTGCAGAAAAATGACTTGTACCTGTGGGCATGTTCAACCAGCCTTCTTGAATAGATCGAACAGCAGTCGGCCGAAGCGCAAACAACCATAACTGGAACATTTATTCTCGTCACCAATTGCAATCTCTTACACTCACGCGCTGCAGAAAGGGTGAAAATGATTTCAACACGGTGTTACAGCAAATCTGTCGTGTTGTTTTTTTTACCAGTGTAAATTTAACGCTAAACTTTCTACTGGTCCACTAATTATCAAGTTTTAACGGTTACGAGCTTCGCTATTTTCCTTCACAGGGTCTAAAGTGATAGAAAATATACTTCAGTACTGCCCTAGATCACATGCAGCAAAAGGTGTCGTGTTGACCCAACACCATAAGACATTTCTTTGAATAAGTGCTTCAAAAGAGACGCCACACGGTGTTAAGCCAACACCATATGCCGGTGTGAAGTGATACCGTATTTAAAAGAATATTTCGGTGTCGTTTCTGGTTCCTGTGTTAGTTTTTGGCATACATCACGCTGGAAATCCAAGCTGATTTTAAATCTTACTTTATAGCCATTCACGGTGGAACGAAAACATTATGAGAACACAGTGATTTAAGTCTACATAGTGAAACAAACCAGGGATCTCAACTGTGATTCTCGGCTCAAAGCACTTTTTCCCCCGTGATTTACGACCATCAGAACCCGCGCCTCATATTATTTCAGGTGTTACGAACATTTAACACTCGCCAATGTCTACAATACCCGGCCACCCAATATTTCTCTGTCTCTCTTTCATTTTAGAGGCGCGGTATCCCGGCAGAATTTTCGCACTCATTTCAAACAGAAAAAAAATTGACGACGGTGTGATTTACCGGTGCCGGTTCTGAAGACGGGGCCGTACGTGCCGTCTCGACCGGGGCCCTGTGTTTTTCCAACGCCGCTGGACCGTTTCTCCCGCCCGGTGATTCGTGTGCTCTCATCCCTCCCTGTACCCGTCGATATTTCCGCTCTTTCTTTATCAATTAAAACTTGGGCACCCAGAGGGCAGATTGGGTCTGAAAAATTCCCGATTAGTCTGTGCTAATGTCAACAGGGCTGATAGATATAGGGGTGTGAACACTGTTGGGCCTATCACACCAAGAAATTGTAATGTGAAAACAATTACTTAAACCGAAAGAATCGGGATTTTTGTTTTAACGGTGACTTGAAAGAACCCGTTATTCCTTGATATAACTGAAGATGAAACTTCGATTACTTGGAAGTCGGATTATTTTTGTCAATTAAAGTGTGATGACTTTACGATATTAAAAAAATGAATGATTCCATGGTCAGAAACTGCAATATTTTCCCATTAATTACGCCCATTTGGAAATTCAATATGATTTTTGCTTTACTTTAAGCCTTTTTAATCTCTTTGAACACTCTAAAAACTCCCAGGTCAGATTGACCCAGAATTGGGTCCCACTCGGCATGAACCTTTTCCGGGTCAAATTGTGACCCATGAAGGGTCAAATATGACCCAAAAGGGACCGCATCATATCTGCATTCTTAAATGTTCATTTCATTGCAATCGCATCCCTCCAGTACAGTCATAGCAACTGACCATTACTGGCGTCGACAAGGGGTAACTTGACTGGGGTCGTAATTCAAACAAACGGGTTAATAACGAAGGTGTCAAAAAAAAAACCCATCTTCGGTTAAGAGAAAGAAGTTTCCAAGCATGCCGACGTTAGATTTAAACACCTTGACACGAAGTCACCGTAATGGCTCAAAGCAACGCCTTAATAACTTGGATACGGAAGGGGAAACGGTATCTCGACACTTCGTATCACCTCGGGAGACTTTTCGTTTGGATTCTAGAGAGGAATAGTGTGGAGGAGTTCGTGTAACTCTGGCTGAGAAATGAAAGAAAACCGACAGTAATGGATCCTATCACTAGAAAGTGTCCAGGGTCGGACTGGGCACGGGACATTAGTCGTCTTTCTGCACGAAGACGTACCACGACCGCCGTGACAGATCGCGCGACCGTCTCGCCGACCTTTTTTTTTTAACGCGATCGGTACGAAATTTCATCGTTCGCGCTATGAGGGCAGGTCGGGCGTGTTTTCGCAGTCAAGTTTTATCGAGGTATTTCACGCGGTTGGCTAGTTTCGAGTTACACTTTAACCAATCCCGCGCGGGTCCTGCAATGTTCAGCTTCTACACTGACAGGGTAAAGAAATTTATTATTTCTTTAAGACTAGTGCTTTTAGCATTTAACATCCTTGATGCAGCATTTATCGCGGACTTATAAATGAAAACTGTTCCTTCCGACCCAGATTGGGTCTGCATTAATCAAAACTGGCAATAATTCGAGACTACTGTAACATTCTATCGCCCGCCATCTAAAAGGTATATTCACAAACCTGAGTAGGCATGGTTTTTTTGGTCGCCGCGCTCATTATAACCAGAAAAGACACTTCGGCCTTGCCAGAAAAGAAATCATTTCCTGGAATTTTGACAACACAAGTCGTGGTGCCCTGTCGGACAGGTTAAAGCGTTCCGTAGGGCAAAAGCACCAATATCTCAGAGCGCTGGTAGGCGCTAGCTATTCGCTGGTTTCATGCTGATGCTAAAATGAGCTAAACTATGCACTAGCTTGCTGGAAGCTTTTCGAACACGAAAAGACACAGTTTTTAAGAAATGTACCTCTTCCTGAGCCTGCAATTTCGTCGTAGGTCCCGACCCTGGTAGCCCAAGATCCCATTAACATCTCGCCAGATTTGAAATCAATATCCACGCTCTGTTGGAGAGACTTCATAAACGAACCAGTTATCTTGTCGACACGTACAGCATAAACAGCGACGGCGACGCTTTTACGGTGTAAATATTGACAATGTGCGCTACCGGAAAAAAAAATCTCGAGTAAGGTCTAGTTGTAAAATGTCTCCCAATTCCGAACACTTGAAGTGTAATCATTTTTTTTGCAAAGCAAAATTGGTGGAGCCAACACGAACTTCTCAGTCAATTATGAACCTCATTCAAGAACGGGCCGATCCGATGGCAAGAGGCCGAAATACAGACGCGGCGCTCAGATCGAGAACGGTCACCGAGAGAGATGTTTGCTCTCGTCTCGTTCTCTCTGTGGGCAAAGTGACAAATTGTCCATTAGGCATATTGTCTCGCTTGGTCCAATATTGGATTTCTGGAATCGGTAGGTATCGTCGTGGATTGGATGGAAACCATTCGAGACAAGATGGATTCCACACCTTTAGTATTTGGTATTCGACATGAGATACACGAGGAATTCAAGATTAAGACAGGATTCCAGGAAACCATTTTTCGCTGTTTTAACAATCACTTTTCATTCCCGCCAATTTGAGGCAATGTGGGTGAAAAATACCTTTGAGCAGAAATTTAAAACACCCGCAGAATCATCTGTCGGCTTCCCGGCTCCCAATATCTCATACATGTGAAGCAAAATCCCACGACATAAGATTAAAATACCTGGAAATATCTTAAGCCAAGAAAACTGATACAAACAACCTATCTCTTTATTTTGTACATTTCTTTGAGGAATAAAATAAAATTGTACGCGCATTCATATCATTTAAAGCTCATAAATAGTAATAATTATAAGAAACGTGGACGGTAGTCACGTTGAATAAGGCTAGTTAAACAATATAAAACAGCTTGAACGAAAATTGTATTCTGAACTCTACAAAATAACTCTCTGTATTTAATGCTTCAGATATTTACAAAATAAACGTCTTCACGCGGAGGCTTACTTCTTGGCCGTGTAGGATCAACCGACTGAAAATTCTGGTCAGCTTTTCTCTCAATCCACCTGCGAATGAACCATTTACTAGGAGCAGTTCACAAGAAGAGGATTCCATCAAGAGGTAAGAAAAAATCTCTGGTCCTGTTCTGATAACTTCTCCAATCCCAGCGGAAGGATATCCACGTGTCTGATTACACTCTAACTCCAGCAATGACACTCTTACACAAATCTTTCAAAGTTTGCAATGTTAATCCCTCTCTCTTTCTTTGACAGGAAGGGAGAACCAAGACCATAGAGTTTGAGGCTGTGTTCAGTTTTGCCATTGCTGATTGTAGGCAATTTGGAGTCTATAATGAAAACTACTTTTTGTTTCTTGTACGCTGGATAACCCACTCCACTCCAACCCTTTTAAAATTGCTCTTACGAATACCAATGCAGAGCTTTCGAGTCTCTTTCCTTTTTGTCTGCCATTTCTGGAAAACTGAAGTTTGGCTCCAATTGGTGACAGGACTTAATATTGAATCCTACATCTTTCGCTAGTTTGACACACACAAGGCTGTGAGAACATACCTCAAAACAGGACGGAATGCGCTGAGTTTTCTAGCAGGCAGTAACTTTCAGAATTGTTTTCTCGCTTTAGAAACTGGCTGATTTATCTGTTCAGCAAGACGGTTCAAAAATGTTCATAACATGTCACAGGGACATTTTAGCATTGTTTTATCAATTCTGTAAAATTGGTTCCTCAGCTTAAGAGCAAACAGTCGAAGAGAAGCAAGGATCTGTTGACGAGACCGCACTGAATTTTAAGTCAAACACCAGGACTCGGACACCACCGTATTTACAAATGCTGACATGCTATTTACAAACCTGTTTCTCTGCAGCTGGGTTCTTAAATCTGTGATGGCCGCCAACGGCTATTCCATGATCTCCACACCTCCAAAGCCCAGCACCTCGCCGGCAAACATGTCGGCCGTGATCAGCTCCGGCAGGCTCTCTTCAAGGAGGTCGGCGGCACCGGTTGGGTCGTACGTTCCGAGCTCTGAGCTCCCCCCTTCCGGGTTGAAGCCCAGAAGCGTAGTCATGTACTCTGCCACGTTGGCCTCTGTCATCTGTTCTCCTGTGTTTGAATGGTAAAATCAACATCATTGCTGCAATTCATAAGTTTTCCAAAAAGAAAATGCCTCACGGTTTTTGAAAGTCAAGATCAACATAATTATAGTCATTCAAACCAATGAACTAAAGCAGTAGATAGATATATTAAACACCAAAAAGTCTAAAAGATATGTCAATTTCTATGAATCAGGTTACAAATGACACATTTCAGCTCAGGTGTTGGTCTTTAATTCAATTTTTATTACTCAACAAGATCTATCAAGTTAACATCCGCAGATGAGCAACTCAACAAACTAGCAAATTTGCCAATAAAAAGGAAACAATCTTTCAGTCCCGTATATCTGCCTTTGAAATATCATGTTTGTTTCCCCCAAAAAGTTAGCAGGTGTCACTGTGTTGATTTCTTGTGACTGGTACCCAATTGCATCCCCCTGACGTTCAATGCATTGTGTTTGGCTGGTAACCAGTTTTTGCTTTCCTACCTTGCTACCTCACAGCTACCTTCTCTGTGTTTACAACACTCTGCTCTAACAAGCCCTATAAAAATCGGTCTGTGATACTGTATAAAGTCATGCCCAAAATCGATATCTCTTTAGTTAATTATAAACTGTGAAGGATCTGATCAAACCGAAACAACATATATCATGGAAGCATCCATACCTTTGTTCTGGAGCATGTGCAGTAGATCTCCCCTCTCGATGGCTGGTTGACTGATCCCCTCATCGAAGCCCAAGACTTCAAATGCCCAGTGGAGTTTGGCTTCAGATAAACCAAAGGCCGGGCGATGGTTAACATACACTGAACGAACAAACAAGATGATGCGTGTGATGAGACGCACTCACAGACTTGTCGTCATTCTCCGTAAACATTTGTTTAGATAATTCTATCATCAGTTTGTCTCTTTGGATTTGCAGATAGCGGCGCTACTCGATGTCAAAAGTGACAATGGGCTAGTTACCCTCTCTTCTTTGCATCAGTGAATGGAAGACCCCCGCAAATACATGAAATTACCACATTAAATACAGCATTACCTGGCTTTCACTTGTGAAGGTTTCTGTCTCTAATGCTGCTTTAAGGTAAATGGTCCGCTATTCTGTGAGCTTAACTTGGCATTAAGCGTCTTGGAATGTGTGATCTTTTACACTAAAGAGAGAGTTTCTGTCCATTCTGACGAAGTCCAATTAGCTATCGCAGGCGAAGAAATCTAATATGCAACTTCACTCAAGCACAAAATCAACACAGGAGAAACGGTTTCTAAGGGCTCTCCGATTGCTTACACTTGATGAAGTCCCCCAGGTCGATCTCTGTGACAAAGTTCCCCGTGTCCACATACTGGCTGAATTTGACCTCGTTGATCATGTCCTCGATCTCCTGCTCGGAGGGGTAATGGCCCATGGCTCGCATGACGAACGGGATCTCGCTGAGTGGGATCTTGACGGAGACCTCTCGGGTGTCGGTGGTGTCCACGCCTTGGCTGCAAGATGACAAGGGGTGACAAGTAAGGACAGGTGTCACAAAATAACGGGTGTGGAGGATGCTGAGTGGGGCAGACAACAGGTGTAGCAGATAACGGGGGGTGGGTAATAGTTGTGACAGGTGACACAGGGGACAGGTGTGAAGGTGACAGTTGTGAATATGATTAGTATGGTGAGTAGCAGGTGTGACAAAGGACAGGTATGAAGGTAGCAGACGTGATAGGTGACGGATGACAAATATGACAGGTGTGACAAGGACAGGGGTGTGTCATGAGACAGACATGACAGGTACATGTAAATGGTGTGACGTACAAAAGATGCTGCAGATGGCAAGTATGACCAGTAACAGTTGGAATGGAGGACAGCAATGACAGGTGACAACTTTGCCAATTGACAGTTGCAACAGGTGTGACAAGTTGTATCATTGACACGGTTTCGTCCATTTGGTTCAAACTCATAAAAAGAGCAAATTACAAAAGAAAAACTTTTCTTCCACTCCACACAATTTGTGCAAATGCGTGCATCCAGTGAGGTGACAAGTCGTTTTTCTCATTCAATCGCTAGAGCTTTTCCGAGACCATCTACCAAATCACTGTCCCAGATATTTACCTTCTGATCTGGGCGTAATAGAAGTAATTCTCTAGCTCCTTAAAGAGTTCCCCCTCCCTGCCTCCTTCCAGGAGGCCGTAGAATGGTATCAGATCTTCTCCCCCCAGTTTGGCAGCTGCCTCCAAAGCCCTGTGCGGAAATTTGTGAGAAAAACTTAATGAAAAGCACAGGAAAACTTGAAAAGTTGCATACCGAAAGACTGTGTGACTCACCCAGATCAGCGAAAAAATCAATTCAAAAGATCAGCGAAAAAAATAAATTCTATAACCGGTGCATGTAAAACCAGATATTTGCTGGATGTGTGGCAGTTTTGAAACCAGGTAAACATAAAGGCATTGTTTAAGGCCAGTTCGTACTTATGAAAGCAAGCAGGAGTGCAAGATTTTTACATTAGATTGAGTATTTGAACAACAAAAATTGACGTGTCAACTCAAGTACAGTTCTTTGTATATATTTCCTGTGTGAAAATTCACTTCTTGTTGCATATGCCCAACAAATGAAAAAGCTTTTAGACTGATCTGCCGACAACTTTCCGAATGATTCATAATAGCTGGACGCGCTCCGCTTGTCAAGGATGGGTTTTGCATGAGTGAAGCACTGTGAGCTATGGCCGGCTTCACTGGTTGAGCTACAAGTGCCAAAATCTAGCCACAGTTAACGGACTGTAAAACAAACAATCCCGTAAGACCAATTCCTGCTGAGCTTTGATACAGGCCGCTGAACGTCCAACTAAAAATGCAACAAAAGCGCAACGACCTTCAAGGTTAATACATCAGACAGGGTCAGTGATTAATTGGCAAGCCATGAAGAAATCTTTTTTCCTGATAATTACTTTTGGGGGGGGGGAATGAATCATGTCCCGTTCGCCTTTGAGTATAAAATCACACAAATGTTGGGCCTGTTTGCAATAACCAGAATAAAATGGATTTCTGGATTTCTCTCCAATGTTTTTTCCTGACAACATTACACAGAGGAATAAACAAAACAACATAGGTCAGATTAATGAATAAATATAAGACAATGAAACCTGAAAATGGTAAATGTAATTTCTTAATTACTCTGACAACTGCGAAAGATACAACGACAGAAACAAGGAGAAAGATGCGAACGCGTTGGAATTACTTAGAATTAATATCCCACTGCAGTAAGTCAGTACTCGTGGCCTTCGTTTTGCAGTTTGTATGGGGGATCTGTGTGGACATGCCCGTTTACAAATCAGAGCCCAACTGAGAACACTACGGATATACTGGAAGCGAAGAGACTTACACAACGCTAATGGTCCACATAAGAACGGAGTTGTCTGTCCCTCCTGAAGTGAATAAATACTTGCCGTCGTAACTGCAAGCTAGGTTGGTTACCTGAAGAAGACAGAAAGCAAGGAAATCGGAGCAAAATATGTCAAGAAATCTAGGTCCTAAACAGAAAATACTGCTGAGGAGATTATAAGTAGTAAGCAAAAAGTCAATTGGGAACCAGCTGAAAGTCATGTCAGAATGTACAACATTTTGATTGGCAGCCCGCAATGAAAAAAAAAATTCCATAATATCAAATTAATGTCTCGCAGGAAACTCTCTGAAATTCAAAATGAGAGTTTCTATCAATCTTTTCATTTAAGGATAAACAAATGGGTGGAAAAGATACATTTTGCAATAGGCCATTCACTGTGATGTAGTCACTCCACTGGAATATGTGACTCACGAGAGACAGATCTAAGCAAATTTAAAGATGGCCAAACTAATTTGCATGCTGCTGTTGAATGTACTTTACTTACTCCACTGGGATGTGCAATTAGTGCCATGGCGTTGTGTGGATTACCATCCAAGGGCATGATGTGCATTCCGACTTTGTCTGACGTTATGAAGGCCAGGTATCGCTTGTCATGGATGGGATCTTTTGTCGGGAGCACTTCCATCCTGGAAACAAGGAATTAAAATGCCATAAACATCAGGGGGATAATCACATTTTTCATTATGATGAGTAAATTTAATACTGAACAGGCTGAGAGGCGCATGTTAATGCGGGCAAACAACTACTCTCCACTTACAACACATGCTAAATAAAATTGTGCATCTCTCATGGACAACAGAGGGCTCTTTGAGCTAATTTCAACAGCCCTGCATGGAGTGCAACTTGGACTTCGACAAGAAAACCAGGCAAAGTCCAGTCTTTACGAGACTTTGTACAGCGTTTGGCAATTTTCAGTGGTGTGAGTGTGAAGTGAAACACGAGGAAATCGGCTGATCCAAGGAAAGTTGCATGCCTGGCCCTGAAATGCTGTACAGATAAATAATTGGGCCAATACCCAAACATGGGTAATGAATGCTAGGATTAAAAACAGATATGAGGGCAAATAATTAAATTCATAATAAATTAATATCTTGAAATGGACAGATCAGGAACTTTGCCTTTTACTGAATAAATCTTGGCTTTTCTAACCTTTGAATGGGTGAGCCATATGTAGGACCCAGCACTGTCTTTCTGCACATTCTAGTCGTCGTGTTGAAAAGCTTGAACTTAAACTAAATATTAAAAAACAGACAATTTTTAAATGCTAAATATCCAAAAAAGGGAACAGATATCAATAGGGAAATATGTCAGATAATTGATTGCAAACTAAAATATTACAGACTCTTATGCAGGGTGGATGGCTCAGTTGCCACGGCAACAGTACAATTGTTTTTCTTTTGGCAATTTTCCTTTTAAAAACTATTTCCCGGGTGAATAGAATCCTGAAACCAACAGATGCAAAGTCAGGTTGACAGGGTCGGATAACAAGGTTTCTGAACGGTGTTGTCGAATGAAAACAATTGTATACAATCCAACCTCTTTCCCACAAAAACCTACCAAATTTTCACACATACTCATGTCACCAATGTGTAAACTAACAATGGCTTATCTGTCGGCGGGTTCCACAAATGGAAGTCTGATTCCTCAACCTTCCACAAATTTCCTTTTAAGACATTACCATCAAATGCGACACAAATGCAACCATCTACATTACACTCTTCATTTGCTTGAGTTTATGCATGTTATTTTCAAATCTCAGGTGGGAAACATGGTATTCCCATCATGTCAATGCACTATAGGCAGCCTGACATGTATACCGGGTACCGGTGATTTACGACAAACAAGCAAATCTGCAAATGATGCCAAAACCATCTGGCTTCAGCAGACATCTTCTGACACAAGGAACTCGAGAAGGAAATGGAAAAATGATCCTTGCCTTGTCAACTTCTTTCTGGTGGTTTGAAGTACTGATCTCCTTCCCCAAAAATGTGAAATTAGTGTCAAGTTCAGATGCAGTACAAGAATCTAATACAATTTGGGACTTGAACCAATTGTGGGTTTGAACCCAACTAGGAACTGTAGTTTCTGTGTCCCTAAGCAAGCCACTTTATTGCAAGCATTTCTGTGTGCAACTTGATATGGTAAAGTTGGTTACTCTGATTACTTAGTATGCCTTTAAAAGTATCTTAAAGTATATTTCAATATAGGGTACTACATCACTATTACCCCTGTTCATCACACTAATAACCACTCCAGAAAAGAGTGTCACCTCTCCAGATAAATACCACTAAATGTTGTCATTTCAAGCCCAAAATCTATCAAAATTATCCCAAAGATCTTGCCTAAGCCCCAAAAGACCCAATACGATGATGCTATATTGCCAAGCTACTTGTGTCCGGTAATAAGTATGCTCTGCAGCACATTAAAAAACAACTGAAATTACTGACGAGACGGGGTACCTGATCATTTGAGGTTAGGAAGAACTGTTCCTTGGTGATGGGTGGGTACCACACCAGACACTGAGGCACCCCGCTCTGCTCGATGCGTTCCATACCAAACAATTTCAGGTCGTCCTTGCCACTATTGAAGAGGTCGTACTCGATCTAGTTGCAAATAAACCACAAAAATCAGAAGACAGTTTGAGACAGGGACTCTAAACTATACTCTAATACGCTTAACAGTCTACACTGGTGAGGCAAAGATAACTGGGCCAAATATCATGGTACTGCTTCAGTTCTGCTTACTAAAGCAGAAACATTTGCCAACCTTAAAGCACTATTTCCTACCATAGTTGGGCTAGCATTGCACACCTATGGAGATCTTGTTATTCACTAAATAAGCACATTTTTCTCTGAAGTAAGCATGCCTTCCGGCGTGCTTACTGCTTAGGGTCTTGACAGTGACATAAAATTGGGCCCTGGGGGTTAACTTCACAGATATGCTAAGCAGGAAAAATTTTGCCCAACAAAAAAAGGTAACCAGCCAAATTGAAAAGGATTTTCATGCTAACTTGCGGCTGGTTCTTGGCAAGTGTTTGCTACAGCACCTTAGTTTGCTAGAGGTGTGTCCAAATCACGTGGCTGTGGCTTGAAATTACACACAACTCTATGGGAAGTGTCTGCAGCCACTGCCATAGACTTGTATGTAATTTAAAGCCACAGCAAAGAAATTCGGATGCGGCTTAGCAATCTTTCCTGCTTGTCACTTGTGGCATTGGGCCCGACCAGGAACTCGGCCAACTCTGATTTGGTGTATAAAATCTGCTGAGAAATCTGTCTGCCGACCTCAAGTAAACTGGGTCCCTGGCTTCTCTGGCCTAAATACAAGGTAAATAGTCGATATATGGCACTTTTTTGATTCGGGCTGACTGTTCATCAGACATATCTTGGGCTTTTTGGTCTCAAGAAATTGGGAATGCAGACGTGGGGGGGGCATGATGAGAGATGCGGAGGGATGAGACAAAGAGAAACTGAAGGAGGGCATGATGGAGAGATGGATCAGACATGGGGCAGACATTGAACAGGGATTGGAACATGGTGATCCGTGTCCCTCACGTCACTCGCCAAGGGGAACGTAAAGCCAAACGGAGATTTAAGCAGAACAAACACAACATTCTACGCTTGAACAATATCCCCTAAAAAGGAGAGGCACGATTATAAACTGATTGGAAATCTCTCCAAAATGAAGAAAAGTGAGCCCAGAGAATGAACATATGGGAACAAGACTCCAGACAATGGATTTTTGACACTTCACAAAGGATTTAATAGGCCAATACATTTTTGTTTTTGATTTGGCAACATTAATGTAATTCCTATTAAAAAAAAAAACCACACAGCAAACAGATGTCACTTGTGGCTCCACCTGAGGAAACGAGTCACAAGCCGATACACCTGATCAGCCTTTGGAAGAATCTTGCAAAAGAATCTTGAACTTTGAACATTTTTCAGCCACATAATGTCCATTTTTATCCGGACGCCAAACTGAGGGATGTGTGTACATCAAAACAAACAGCTTCCTTTACTCTTTGCGAGCCAGACTAAAAGTTGCCGAGTAAAATTTGGCCGAAAGACTAATTATGTAAAAATCCATTCACAAAAAAACAGCGTTGGAGTCGAGTCCATCATAAGTCCTTTCGCAAGTCCTTTCACAAGCCAATGCGGTTTGTAAGTGACTTCGTCACGAAGGCAGACGTGCCTTGATTGGCAGGGTCCCATTGGACGATCGCTAAATTTGTGCGTTAACTTTCCGTTCCTAGGTTCCATGTAAACAGCAATCAATGCATGTAACTCTGTGTGCAGTGCATTTCCAGTGGGCGTGGTTTAAACGGAAGTGATGTAACACTTACGAACTGGATGGTCATGAGTCCCTTCACAAGACAAGTGATAAGTAACAGGTTGAACAATGACAAAGGATGACGGACTCGAATACAACACTGTCAAAAAAATGTCACCTGCAAAGAAGTAGCCAGCGCAGATGATTCAGGACAGAGGATCCCAAAATTTGAAATAACTTTTTAAAAATCTTACCAACGCTCTATCCTGTCCGACGGAGAGTAGCCTGGGCATGTCAGAGTCCAGAGCCACGCCGAAGGACAGGTCCTGGATGGGCTTGTAGTGAGCTCGATGCTTACCCAGGTAATCCCAGGTCATCCCGGTGCTGGGATGTTGGGCTTTGAAAACCGTGACGCAGTGATCAGCATCCTGCCAGGAAAACAAACAAAAAATTACACAAACTTCCACATGCCATTGTAATTTTGGAGTTAAGCCATCCACTGTGAGTTTTTATACCTTCAAGGCATGTCTTCTGTGATATTTACTAATGAAAAACTTTCCATCATTAGACATGTTTCTGTTTATGTCAAAAGCCAGTTCATTGTCTGGTAAATTTTTTACAACCTAGTTTTTCCTGTGTCATTTATACAAGATCCTTGAAAATTTCCTCGTGTGCCCAGCAAAAGGTCGTAAAGCGTGCTTATGACCTTTTGCTGGAAAGCATGTTCACGGCAGAAAAATGTTCCCGGCAGAAAAAATGTTCCCGGCAGAAAAAATGTTCCCGGCAAAAGGGCGTAAGAAACATACTCTCTTTATATAGTAAAAACGGATAAAATTTACAACAAAATCAACACAGGCTGTACAAAAAGCATCCTTTGAACAACTTATGAAATGACTTTGGAAATTTTGTAAAAACTTTTTGCAAAGAAATCATTATATTTCATTGAAATAAAAAAGTTGCATCCATACGTCCTTTTGCCGGGGAAGGTTTTTTTGCAGTGATTGTGCTTCCCGGCAAAAGGGCGCAAGCGTTTACGTCCTTCCAGGCACACGACGATATCTGATAATTGAGTGAAGAGTTGAGTGGCATAAGATTGTGCGGAATTTTGAGGAGGCCTGGAGGTGAATAAAGTCTTTTCAAGATGGAAATAAAAGCCACTGAACTGTGGCTTGTCATTGGTTGCGTACATTTCAAAATTTCAATTTCCCCCCCAGCCCCGGGGATTACACCTCTATTGCCATTACTTACAGCAACAGCCATCCACTTGGAATCGTGAGAGAACGTGCAGTGAGTGACGGCGTCCCGTGAGTAACGGAAAAGTTCCTCGCACTCGTCCTCCAGGGAGATGGCGTCCAAGATGCGCACGCAGCCGTTGGTGAAACCAACGCCTGGGGAACGAATAAAAATGAGCCCGAGGACTTGAAAAGCATCCAAAGGAACTACCACAACACAAAATAGAGAGCTGTGAAGAGGACAATATTGTTTGATAGAAGTTTAGCAGGGTACCGGTTGGTAGCAATGCACAGGGCAGGACATTTTGATTGGTATTAACCCCTTTGTGCAAAGCAAGTGTTTTTCAGTGCTCATCAAACTGTTTTTAACAAAGAACATCCCATCAATCTACTCCAAGGAATTATTGAGTGAATATTTTCTGTGTTTCTTCTGGTCTTGGCCTTGCTGTTCCCTGAAAATGCCCCCGCAAACATTTGAGTGGCTCAAAGCAAGTGCTTTGCGTCAAAGCAGGTTTTGCCCCGACACCGACCTAAATATAAGTACATGTATTCACACTATATTCTCAGTTCAGTCCCCTAGTTGCTGAGAAATTACACACTTGCTCGGGTGGGATTCAAACCTCTAACTTCCTGCTGAATTAATCACTGGCCCATCAAGCAAGACAATTTTTGTGATTTTTGTTTGAAACTTTCCGACCAAATTAAGAACGAAGTGTGAATATTCATAATGGTTTATGAGCAAATCCTGGCATGAAATTGGCATACATTTTGAAGAAAAATGTGTGAATAATCATGGTGGGTTAAGAGCAAACCCTGGCATAAAATGTGCATATATTAAGAATAAAGTGTGAATATTCATGATGGTTTAAGAGCAAACCCTGGCATAAAATGTGCATATATTAAGAATAAAGTGTGAATATTCATGATGGTTTAAGAGCAAACCCTGGCATAAAATGTGCATATATTAAGAATAAAGTGTGAATATTCATGATGGTTTAAGAGCATACCCTAAAAAAAATACATTTCCCCCACTCAAGCCAAATAAATGCCACAGCCTTTTTGAAAAGATATACACCCTCACAAAAACTAAATTCCAGACCTGCGAATTCATAGTATGATTGAAAATAGAAAAAAATTTGAACTCTCATTAAGTAACTGTGTTACCATCAATACAAAATTTGTTCTAACAATTTCAAATTATGAATCTGTGCCGAGACCCTCACATGACAAGTACATACTACAAACAATTTTTCAGTCGTTCGTTGCTTGAAGGGTAATAATAAACTGTCTGGTAGTCTGGCCAGCTTCTGAAACAAGATACCCTCCAGATCTCAAATTGAAAGTCCTCGGTGCCATGGTGGGGGGAAGTAAAACAAGGCCAGCCAGTGATTAGGCTTCAGAGCTTGCCAGGTTTGGCTGAGTCCCAGTAGAGAGACGAGGCTTACCGGCATGCAGCAATCGGACTTCGCCTTCGACGGGGATAATCACAAGACGATGGACTGGACTGAACATTCTAAGTCATAAACAATCAGCCTCTGTCCTCCGGTATGTTGTCGGCGCGTTTAAATCTGGCACGGAATTTTTTTGAAAAATTGACTGCATGCGACAAAACAACCCGGTCATTTCCGTGCGATGACGCGAATTATTTCACCTGAACTAGGCAAGTGTGCTTTCCCAAGGATCAGGCAAATAATTTTATGAAAAAGACAATTCACAATTGGCTGCATTATTAGGATCCCCCTTTTCACACAGGTATAGACAACACACGAACAGGCCAACACTCTTAAACAAATAGACCAACAAAACCATATGCCACTCATATAAACAAAATATACCTATTATAAAACACAACAAACAAAAGCAAGAAACACAGACACAAATGAAAAGACAAACCAACAAACCAAGATCTGACAGAAATTAAAAAACTTCTACAAGCATCAACCAAACATCCAACAAACAAACAACACATAAAAGAAAACAAAATATGAAATTTATACCCGATGTTGGAATAACAATTTCTTACCAAGATAATTTCCCTTAGGGTCAAAAGCCATACAGCGGATCAGGTGACCTTTGGGAAAGTTTCTGGACATGACCAAAGTCCTACAAAAACAAATGGAAAAACGGAATTTATACTTCTATCATAAAGATAAATAAAATAGCAATGACCCAATCTTAAAAGGCCGCGTTGCAAAGTGGATTTTGTACTAAGACAAATGGACCACATTGACAACCAGGTCCACTTTGTCCATGAACATTTTCCCAAATCCTGTCTTTGATTTGAGTTACGTCTTCAGCTTTGCATTCAGCCCCTTTTATTCAAATTTCTGGTGTGTTTATGACTTCGGCTCCATTTCTGGTCCACCTCATCTCGCATTAGCCAGTCTGACATTTCTATGGCTGACAAGCTGGAGCGTGTCAAAGTCGCAGGCAAAAGATCAAGGCAAAGCTATGGTTCCAATTTCCATGGGGATTTTCAATTTCAACGTTGACGTCCGTGGAGGGAAGGGAGCATAGTTGAAACACCTGTGGTGATTATGCATGCACTGTATTGAATATTCATGAGACTCTGCATAATTAGTGTGTACACGTGTAATAAACCAGTCAAGCTGTGGGTGGGTCCCTCAGTGATGCGTCAGTCTTGTGTCTGGTCTACGACGAAACGGTTAAGATCTTGCTTGTCAGTGTTGTAGACGGGTACTTTTCGAATGCCAAGTTCCCTGCCAAAATTGAACTGGTAAGGAGGGAAGAAGGACATGGAAGAAGAACATTTAAGGAGTAAAGTACTTCAAAAGTACTTGACCTAGTCCCTCTTGAGTCCTTTGTCCTTAAAACTTAATACTCATAGAAGAGTGATGGTCTGAGGTCATCTATTTATTTTGTAATTTAACTCCTTCGCTTTTACTTTCCAATGCCCTTGTTCTTCAGCTTTTTCCTATAAAACTAGTTCCATGTTTGATGGAGAACTTGGTACTTGAACAAGTACTCGACAACAATACTGTGGTTTGTTAACACTCCACGCAAGGCTCAACCACCCCTCGCTCTGCCCTGCAGCGCTCGCCGCCCGCGAGGCAAGCACCAATAGTATGCACTCACACGTCTATCATTTCTCTTTTCCTGGTGTCTCTAGTAGTGCGTTCCGCGATGGTTACTTACTTTGATTTGTAATTCCAGACCTTGAGGAGTCCCGAGTAGCTGCCTATGGCAACTTGTGACCTATGTATACAAATCAAAAGAAAACAAAAATCTTTCCGAAGTCTGAACAGATGTGTCTGACGAGCAGTCTGTAAGCTGCCATTAATTTCTAAGTTGTCAAATCTGCACATATCATCCAGCAATGATGCTAGACATCTACGCCAAGAATCTCCAAATATGTCAAAAAACCTCCCCCAAAAACTACAATAAAGTGTAATCGACACTCTTTACACTTCAACTTCAAGACTATGTCTGCCTGTTTTTCCGAGGGACTTTGCTTCAAATGTTGAAAATCTCACTGATGAGTAAATCTTTCGAAGGACTCCAGAATTCTTATTCTAGGTAAAGTAAAGTTCACTCACAGATTAGGGTGTGTGGCAAGGGCGTGAATTGCTGCGTCGTGTTCCGAATGGATCATCTAAATTCATCCAAAAGGTGACAAAATATTAGGAAAAACAGAGTGAGCACTGGCTATTGAGCTTGGACACTGTACAATTAGAGTTTATCCAGTTGGACTGTATCACCCTGGAAATGGAAGAGCAAATGACATCAATGTATTTGGCCAATCACGGTCAGGACCTTAAGAAGCCACAACCACTCATTTTCTTCACAGTTTTTGCTCTTCCAATTCCAGCAGGGTCAAGAAAGTTCAGGATGTTCCTTTACTTCTGACAACACTCCCTTAGGAACACGTCAAATTTCAGAACATTTCGAGACTCAAAAAGGGCACGACTGCCAAAAGTTGACTGTCTGATGGACTGACCTTGACCTGTGTGCCGTCAGCAATAATCAATGCAATCTGGGCTGTGAAGGTGCTGACAATATAATCCCTAGTGATGAAGGACTTGGCTTCAATGGTGGCATCTGGGGGATAATCACTCTCCTCTTTCAATCTGTAAATGAAGGTTAATCAGATCTAATTATTAGAAAGCAGAAATCTGGCAGTGAAAAAGAGGAAATGTTGTGAGTGGATTTATGATTCATCTCCAGCCAAGCCCTCAAAAAGGATGACAAATAGTACAGGGTCTACAATTTTGCAACAGTTTTGGGAATATTTATCCCGAACTTACTATGTCCTGTCTGAAAATCATCAACTTACTTCAAAAGGTCTTCAGCTGAGAAGCAACTTTTGGTCAACTTGGCTATCAAAAGTGGACACCATCATTCAAAAAATCCCCAGCACTTTTGCAAGGAATTTTGCAGTATCCCACAAAATCCATCAATGTACGAAAAAAAACCCAGCCTCAATCTATCAAAATCCTACAGAGTATGCTGTTGGATTTTAAAGGATGTATGATACTGAGGTTTACATAAGGAGTACCACTGACACATTCAATCATTCAAGATCTATTTCCACAATGCCACAATTTTGACATCAAAATGAAGCAAGGCCATGATATTAAACTAATCCTTTAAATAAATTATTCTGAAATGAACAACTTACTCGGGCACAAACTCTGGCACATAGGCAAAGGAGACAGAATTGACGGGTCCGACGCCAAACTCATTGTACCAGTTGGACATACGCAACTGGAGATCATAAAACTTAACGTGACCATTCACGTCACCGGTCACAATGTATCTAGAATGAAAGTCATTGAAAATAACAGGATATTCCGTCATTCATGAGATCAGAAGTAATCATGGTGACCAGACTGTATCAGGAAAGATCTTGGTTTCAAGGTTCTGTATTCTTAAAAGGATTTCAAAAGTAAAGCGCTTGGCAAAACAGTTGGGAATTCTGAATAAAACGAGACTAGTCAACTGATATAATTGAGAGCAACTATCCCTTACTGTTCGGTGGTCGTCAGCACCGTTATGCCGCGCTCCTGGACACGGACCAACTTGAAGGCTTTTTTGTTTGGAGACGGTTCAAAAAGAGGTGCTAAAAGAACAAAAAGAAGCAAGGATGAAAATGACTCGCATCATTTTAAAAAAACAGCATTTCTGGTTTCAAATATCCTTTCAGGGAGCTTTCTACTTTTTTTCCGTATTCCTGACGTCTGAGTCTATATTTTTGAAATGTGAAGTTTCCCTAAGCTGTAAGTACCCTACTATCAAGAGATTCCAATAAATACTTTCAATTAGGAGTTAATTTTCAAGGAATAGTTCAGATTTTTAGATTGACTCAATAAAGGTCAGAGGTCGGCATTTATCTGAGTTGCAATGACACACTTCTATGGCATACCCAGGCATCAAAGTTTTTAATTGGTCGGAAGAAGTGACCTCTGAACCCCCTGCCCAACACAAAAGACTTAAGGTTTCTATGAATACTCACGTCCAGAGATTGGCCTGCAGTTGTCCCACACCACAACGTTGCCCACCGACGTCGCTGTGAAGGCCCGGGTGCTGTTGCTGCAGAAGATGGATTGGCTGTAATTACCGACCACTCGGTTGAAATCTTGGTCGGTCAGCGACGGAGCCACAAAATCTATCTTACTGCCCTTCTGAAAATGATCGGAGATGGACATTGCACAATGATGATGACAGACAGATGATCACACAAGTGTGTCGTTCAGATGAACGCTTTCAGGGAAACTAGATAATTAACCACTTTGTGCTGTGGTTCCTGGTACCGGAGACCTTAGGTTAATATGCATAGCTGGGGGTGCCCGAAATCGGACAAAGGAGCTGGGCCTTATAACAAAAGACCGTACTTGGAGCAAAAGACCTTGCTGCCGGGAATTGCCGACATTTTTTCAGTTGTCAATAGCGGAGGTCATCTGTCATTGCTTTAAAAC